TTGGCGCTTGTTGGCAGTCGTCATTTCAGCTGCCACTGCTGTCGCTGCAGTTGTTGTTGCTGTTGTTATTGTAACTGCATTTACTGTGGGTTTTTGGACTTTGGCAAACGTTGCGCGTAATTAGCATAAATCACTTCAAAAAAGGCTTCCTTTTTGGCCTGACCAAATTTGTTTATAGACCTCGTGGCTCTTTTGGCATTTTGGCATCTTGGCAACAACTGGCAGCTACAGTCCCAGCCCCAATGCCAGTCCCAGTCCCAGCCCTAGCCTCCGCCTTCTTCTGCCACTGCCTCCACTTCTGGCTCTGCTTCGTCTTCTTCTTTCCCCTCCTCCTCCTCCTCCTCCTCCTCTTCTTCTTCCATCACAGTGTGCAACACGACAACGACAAAGTCACGCATCGCTGACCAAAATTGGCACAGCTTTGTGGCTGGTAGATTGGCTTTCAGTTGTTGGTGGCAATAAATACCATTTGCATTGACTGCCCAAATACTGCAAGCAGCCGACAACAGCAACAACAACAGCAACAACAACAGCAACAACAACAACATCTACAACAAATAGAAAGTACATTTGCTCGCAAAAACTTAATTGAAAGTTTCATTGGCCAAAATCAAATGAGTTTTCGGCGGCAGCGACTGAAGTGGCAGTGGCCGACAAACGCATGCATTTTCCAGCTTAATGCAATTCAAAATGTTGCACAAATGCTGAACGTTTTATACACATACTCATATATACAATATCCACTCGCTCCTTTTTATGACAACTTAATAACATTAAAAATTGTCATAACTTGTTGATTTGTCGACAGCTTTCGTTTTCCTAGCCTGTCCTAGCCTTCCCCCTCTCGGAGCAATTACTATATCTATCTGTCTTGTGACTTTGATTTGGCATCGATGGCTTGTACAAAATAATTACTGTTAACACTTTTGATAATGCACGCCGCTGCCCGTTCCAATCTCAATTATGTGCATCAAAATGACGACAAGGGGCAGTTTGCATTTATTTTTATTATTTTCGTTTATGTTTTCTTAACCAGCATTGGAAAGTGGCAGCTGCAACTGCAACTGCAACAAGTGATGGCAATTGCGTAACTCCCGCTCACCGAAACTAGCCAAGTGCTTGTGTGTGTTTGTATGTGTGTGTGTGTGTCTGTGTGTGTGTGTGTGCTAGTTCATATAATTTCGCGGCCAATTGAAAAATGTCAAAAAATATTTTGCTGCATCTTTATAACTGCGACAGAAATTGATCGAGCGAACGAGACTGTAAAGACACAGACTGGTTCAGATTCATAGCCCGACTGACTGACCACTGGCCATGCATGCAACAACAACAACAACTGCGACAGTGGCAGCAGCAACAGCTCTAAGCGGTTCCATTAGCCAGCATTACACTTGCAGCACTTCAATTGCTTTTTGGCCTAAAAGTCGTACACATTTTTTGTTTGTACTTTTGCAGCTACAGTGAACACTTGCAGGCTGAACAATCGCATAGTTTTGTGAATAAAATATATATTTTTTCTATGTTTAATATAAGCATTAAATCCATGTATACAGGTTTAGTACCTTAACAATACATGTAAACAAATATAAATAGCCTAACCTCGAGCGCTTCCGCGCGAAGATTCATAAGTATAGTAAGTGGTGGCTTATGTTTATCTAATTGTTTTGAAAAATCCTAATCGTTTTAGCCTTCGCAAAGGTCTGTCAGAAAGGAGTCGTCTTTGTTTATAAATTTGAATATTAATTTCCTTTACTGCGCATGCTTAGTTAGACAGTTTTCTCTACTTCAACTCAAAAGTAATCTACTTTAAAACTAATTATTTCAAATTACTGTCCATGTAGTAAAAACCGATTTACATATTTATTAAAAAAATATTTAAATATTAATGCAGTAATTACTAGTATTACTAAAATTAAAAAAACCTGATCGTAAAAAACACATAGAATAATATAATATTAAAAGGAGAAGAACTATCTTGCAGACCTAAAATAGCTTCTGTAAACTTAATTGTAAATAAAATTAATAAACCTTTCTCGTTTGGGGCTTACATTTATTATTTTCATTCCCTATTACATTACTACTGTGTTTTTTATGCATATTACTAATTTTTACAATCCTTAACATAGAAAATAAATTCTAGTTTTCAAATGTTGTTAGCTTCTAGAATGAAACTGTGAAAATTGAAATCATTAAGAACAAATTTTATACTTATTCAAATATATATCATTTTTGCATACCACAGTAGTATTTCTGCAAAATATTTTATTACACTTTGTAAATTGAGTTTTAAGGATCATTTCAAATATGTTTTGATTTTTTTCCATGCTTTTTTCGAAGTGTACTAATTTTAATTCTGATTAGTTACTACCAATTTTGAATGTTGTTTACATAGACATATATACTAAGTGGATTTGCCGCGCCTCCTAAACACGTTCTTACTAAACTAGTACACCCTTTTACCCTTTCGGTATAAAATAAATTACGGTTTTTTTAAGTTTAAGTTTGTCTTGATTCAACTCAAAACATTTCAAGCTGATAGCTGACTTCAACAATAAAAAAAAGAAACAAATCTAATTCAAATTAAAATCAATCCTTTTCTGGAACAATAGATTTTCTTTTATGAGATATTTTCATAAATTAAAGAAAGCATTAATCTGCAATGGCCTGTGTTCCACTTAGTCAGTTAATACGGCACATATGCGTTTTTTATGATATTTTGTTTTTTGCTATGCGCTAATTGAAAAAATGGTTTATTAAAATGGCATGCTGATAGAAAGAAGCTTGCTTGTCAGCCAGGGGGGTGGGGAGGGGTGGCCGAGGGAGGACGCAGTCAAACGCATAATATTTCCGTCATTAGGCAGCAACAAGTTTTTGGTGCATTGCATAACGGGCCAAAGTTATGGGCGACGCGTCGTTGGACTTAGACTGCGGGTACTGGCCGCCTGAAAATCTGACCACCGTCAGTGGGGAACGTTTGGCGGCCAGCCAGTCGGACGACAAGTGCACTTTTGTGTGTCGTAAAAATTGATGGCAGTTGGCCAGTTGCGCGACTGTGTTTTTATTATATGTATAGTATATGGATATTTGTGGCAGCATGCAGCTAATTGAAAGCTCTCCTGCCAGTTCGTTGCCTAAGTCTTTTGTTTATATTTAATGGCCAGCCGAACGCGGTATTGGCAACCTATTTGTAGTTCCCATAATTTGTTATGTTTGAGCAGCATTCACAGGCAATTTTGTGTTCGTGGCTGGCAGCCAACCTTCACACTCCCACTCAGCCATATATTGTGAATATATCGCTGGCAACGACTACCAACTGGCAACTGGCAACTGTGGCGCGTCCCAATTAAAAAGTTGCACGCTTGTAGCAACATTGTTGCTGTTACTATTGCTGTTGTTGGTCATAAATTTGCCAGTGCTTATCATTTTCATAAACAACTCACAACAAAACGAATCAAAACGGCGTCGTCGTCCTATTCGTTGTCGGCTTATGCAATTTTTGATTGTGTGTGTTTGCCCAAGCATTGATGGTGGCGGTGGCGATGGCGGCGGCGGTGGTGGCGGGACGTTCCATTTGCCAACGCCAGCGCCTGCGTCTGGGTCTGGGCTGCTGCGATTTTTACCACCATTTGCCAAAGTAATGACAGGTGTTTGTAACTTGTTTGTAACAAGCGCAGGCAAACTAACGGCAACAACACAAATGCCCACCAATGCCCAAAATACAACGTGCCATACACTGGCTTCGGCCCCCAAAACATCGGCCAACAACAGCAACAATCGGCTTAGCCATCAGTGACTGTGCGCTCCAAGATGGCAGGGGGTCGCCCATGCTGCCACCACCGAGCGGCGCGCCGTCCTCAACGACGACGCAATCCCCACAAGATATTTGCATTAATATAAAGCCCAAACCAATTTATGCCCGCCAGCACAGCTGCAAATGGCGGCCGAGCGCTCGAAATGAAATAGAAGACAAAATTGTGCCTCGCACACCATACACACACACACACACACTCGCACAGCCATAGATACACAGACACACATATGTGGTGTACATACTTATGCACGAGCATAACAAACTCTACGGCTTTGTGAGTTGCTGCTTCATAAATTGGTTTCCAGCAAATAAAGGCAGCACAGCAAAACGAAACAAAACAAAATTATAATTCTTTTTCGGAAGAGACTCACAATAGGTTGTAAAAACACTCGAAAATGTAGGACAACGAAATATGAGTAAACTGATTGTAAAATCAGATATGTAACAGGATTTCTGCAAACTCAAAATGTATTTGACCATCGCAATACACATAAGAAACTACTAAACCCTTTCAACTTTATAACATTTCAAGACATTTTGTTAAATAATACAAAACTTTCACACTCATTTTCTAGTGTGGTCTGGCATAGCTCAGCGATCTACACAACCATCATGATAGAACGCATGATTGGACAAATCCAATGCTACCATATAATTTAATAAGAGTCCTTCTTAGATCAGGTCTTCAATAAAAAATAAATATTATAAAAAAAAAAAGAAAACAAAGAGAATTTTAAAGCCAAATGTTATACTTTGAACGTTTTGACATACGAATAAGACTATATCTTTAAAATATTTCAATGGTAAATGAACAAATGGACAATAATAAATGGAGGAGAAAAGTAATATGCATCGAAAACACAAGCACAGTTTTAAAACGGCTACCAATAATCAAATTCAAACTAAACAATCCTAGCAACATAAAAGTGAAAAAAGGGTATAACTAATTCACTATGTGTCAGTTCAATAATTCTTAAGCTGAAAAATATCTGGCATAGAAACAGACTGTAATGCGGAAGCGGCTCCATCAATTCAACTCGTTCCGCTATTTATTTATGCCTCAGCAATATGGAATCTACGTTTCGAAGCTATTGAAATGGGTGCAAAAAAAAAAGCAAAAGTAGTCTGATATCCAGATTGCTCTTGACGATGCCCCAGCCCCCAATGTAGAAGAAAAGAAACAATAGAATCAATGAATAGTAATTATATTTTACACCATTAGGGCTCTTAACAAATAATTTTCATTGTTATGCTATTTGATAGGAATTATTTGAATTATTTTTTAGGACCACTGACAGGTTTTGGGGAAGGTTCCAAGGGTACCGGAACCGCTTTCACCACACTTGTCTGGCCAATCAGCAAAAGAACAGCCACGATCACAAACTAAAATGAAAAGAATTAAAGTTAATAAAACACACAATTCTCAAATTATTTAGATTTTGCAGAACTTACAGAAAGGTTGAGCGACTTCATTTTTTTAGATTGTCAAGAAAATTAGTTGAGTTCGGTTAAGAATTGACTCTATTTATACTGTTCTAGACGATGGTTGACGTGAAATCTAATTGGATATGGGTTACATGATATAAGGAAGAATAAACTGAGGCGTTATGCATGGCGGAAAGGCGGGGGACAACGAACGTTTTCTTTGAATTCAGATGCAGATTCAATTTCCAATTTGCAAACAGTGGACAAAAATCACTTGTTCTACCTCAAATTTAATTTCCAGTTTCTTTAACTTGCATTACAGCTGAGTAATTGACTGGCCGTTATTTTTCGGTGTAAGGGAAATCAGGTTGTCTGGTCAAGCAGCATAAGAATAGGCCAAATATAAAAAGTAATAGTGAAAATATACTTCAAAACCACATCATTTAGTATTGAGTGCTTCAAATGCATTCAAATCACATCAGAAGGTAGAACTAATAGTCACTATGTATGAGTTCGATAGATACTAAGCTCAAAATATCTGGCATAGAACCATACATAGAATGCGGATGTGGCTCTTTCGAGCGATATCGTTCCGCTATTTATTTATGCATCTGCACCGTTTTCTGCGCGCTACAAAAATCAAATTCCGCATGGCAACTGCATAACAAGTAAAGACTTAGAAGTAATTCATAAAAACTTGTTTGGAAGCTATACAAATAAGTGAGCAATAAACCAAATTATCTGATATCCAGACTGATCAAATGATAAGAAACAATAGAGGTTATGAAACGCATGGAGACATTTTTATTGCCCTTAAGATTGTAATGACATTTGATAAGAATTATTTGACTAAAATCCTATTCCTTAATTTAGGAGTCGACAACAAGTTGAGCCGAACCGCTTTTGCCATAATTATCTGGCCAATCTGCATAAGAAGAGCCACGATCAGAAACTGAAATGATAATAATTAAAGTTAATAAAAATCACAATTCTTATTAATTAAGAGAAGGTTCAGTGACTTCATGTTTTCGTTTAAGACTTTCGAATAAGACGTGGCTCTATTTGTAATGCTACTCCACATTGGTTGACGTACGATTGAATCGGATATTATCAAATTATATCGGATATTATTGTCACGTTTTGTGTTTAGTGATAGGACAGTCGGAAACATCGATATTCAGATTTGTCTCGTCATGCTGATTAGATCGGTTAGAAGGGTTCTGTTAAATAACGTAATCCTTATGTGTCCAGGCGAGAATAAACATGTACAGAATTATTTTGAATATATTTTCGTTTCAATTAATATCTTCTTTGATTGGTGTGATCCAATAGGTGGTCGTAGAAATAAAATTATTTTTATAAAGCTACTCGATTACATCTTGAGAAGAGAAAACGAAGTGAGAGGTTAGAGTTAGTCACCAAAACTGATCAGTCTCGACAAGATAGCTGGGGTTCAGTCGAAAGGTCAAGAAAGGCAGAGGACATCTCTATCTAGAGAGGCGCGAAATGGTTTTTAGGTTTAGGTACAGAATAGGTACAGAATTGTTTTGAATGAAATATACGAGCCAATCCAATTTAAAAAAATTTAAATGAAGCAATGGAGTAAAATTTTATTTCATTCCCTAATGCACTTTAGAATGGCTTAGCGTTTTCAAGCTTTTGCCAGTAAGATAATTGTCTGATTAATTCCAATATTTAAAACACCTGATAGCTGATAAGAAAAGCGACAATCGCAAACTTAATCAAAAAATCTATAATTTTTGAAGTTTAAATAATTTGCAGAACTCACGGACAACTTAAGTGACTTCATGTTTCTAAATTTCGTAGAAGACTACTTGAATTTTGTTAAGACTTGTCTATATTTATAAAATAACTCGCTGTTGGTTTAAGTGCAAATTTAATCGGAAGTTTATTTGTAAACCTATGGTGTGGATTGTTCAAATCGTAACGGTCCCGGAAAGTTAACTGATGGGCAATCGAAAGGGCAGAGAGTGGAAAAGACATCCCTTTGTGGATTCGTCTCGTCATGCCGATTATTTGTACACCTGTAACATGGAAATGCCGGAAATGTTCTTCTAGGCATGCACACATATATGAAATGGCATAGAAACAAACTGTAATGCGGACACGGCTATATCGATTGATCTTGTTCCGCTATTTATTTGTCTGCGCATTTCAAAAATCAAATTCCGTTGGGCAACTGCATAACAAGTAAAGACTTAAAAGATCATCTTCGTTTGGAAGCTATACAAACGAAATTAGTTCGATATCCAGATAGCCCCAAATGTAAAAAATTTGAAACATTAGAATTTATGAAAAACCGTTATTTTAAAAATGATTTTTATTGTTATGCTTTTCGATAAGAGTTATTTGACAAAATTCCTTAGCCACTGGTAGATCTGAGGGTTACCGGCACGGATACTGCTTTTACTACACTAGTCTGGCCAATCAGCAAAAGAACAGCCACAATCACAAACTATGATGAAATTAAATAAAGTCAATAAAATAAACATTTCTAAAATAGCTATAAACTTACGGAAAGCTTAAGCGACTTCATGTTTTTAGATTGTCTAGAAGAATAGTTGAGTTCGTTTAAGTCGTCGGTTGACGTGCAAATCGAAATTGGATATGGGTTACATGATATGAAGGGAGAATCAACTGAGACGGTTTGTCACGTTTTCTACATCCAAGTAGTGATATATATTATTTAAAGTTTATTATAGGTGAGTAAGTCACTGGGCGGTTTTGTCGGCATGAGGGAAACCAGCTTCTTTACCGGAGTTGCGTTTACCACAAGAAGACAATAGCTTAAATAGTGGGGAATAGCGCGACAAATATTCCATATGCAATTCTGAATGACTAAAGTAAATGCTAAATTAAGAACTAGAATAAAAATATAAAAACATAAATCAAATTCATAAGCATTGTAAAGTAAAAAGTAAAGTAAATGTTAAATATACTTGTATAGCTATGTACAAAATAAAATAAAGTTTATACCAATAATAGAAACAAGTTGAAGCTTTAGTATAAATTGCTTAAAAAATTAAGCAGCTTAAATAGAACGCAAAACTCGCATACAGCTCTGTATTGTTAAAAGCACTTTCGATGCAAAAAATACTTATCTTACAATTACTCCGCACTTGGGAAATTGAAGCTGGCGACCTATGCCCTCTGATGTACTTACAGAGTTGGTTCTCAGTGAAAGTTGTAGTGCTTGACTGAGCACTACAATGGGAGAAGAAAAGAAACGCAGTCTATTAATAGATAATGCTAGGCTTGCAACAACAACAGCGGAGCAGCTTTGTGGTCAACATCTTGGCAAGGCAATTTTATTACCTGTGCCATTGCATCATCAACTCCGATCTGTGCAGACAGACGCCACTAATGGCGAGGTAGATGCGTTTGCTGTAGTTATTTTTATTGTTACTGCCATTGCTATTGCAATTGCTACAAGTATTACTGTTGTCGTTGCCGTTGCTGTCGATGGCGGGCGTAGATGATTTTGATTATTGTTGCTGCTGCTGCTGGTGCAACTTTATATTGCGGTTGCTGCACGTTTGTCAGACGTCTACTGGCTGCTTACAACTTCATCTGTCTCATTTGTCTGGCCGTTTTCACTCGCCAGACTATAAAATTGATATTTGCGGTTTTTGTGGTCATAAGCGGAATGTTGCTCATGTTCTCACCAAATGTGCCCCGTCCATGATACATTGAACCTCTCCTGGGTGCAAGTCTGCCCCTCTCTACCCACCCCCTCAACCAATCTGCCACACTCCCCACGAGTTTGTCTGAAGCCGTCAGGCAAAGAGCTGATTAGACAAAGCAGCGAACATTTTGCTGACAACATTTGTCATTGTTAGCGTGTAATTAACACACGCCCACCCGCACGGAACGCCCGTACGCCCACCGCTCCATAAACATAAATCACACACATCTACACATGCATTCATACAGCGTTGAAGGCTTTGGAGAGTGGCAACTTAATTGCAAAGTTTGCATAATGCTTTTTACAATTTCTGCATTTCGGCTAATGGCAAAAATATTTCAAATAAACATTGAAAAACACTTGCGGCCACTTGCGCAGCACCACTCGAGTGAAATTCAATTTGCTAGCCAGCTATCCAGCTAGTGGCTCGCGGCTCACAGCTCGCGGTCCCCATCTCGGACAGCGCACTCATAATTAATTTGGCTGCTATCTGCCGACTGCGACTGCTCCCGACCAATCGACCCACCTGCCTGACTCACAGAGTGTCTGTTGCTGTTGCTGTTGCTGCTGGTGTTGTTGTTGTCATTTTTTGGTTGTTGCCGTTGCTTGCAAAATCAACAAAATCGATATTTAAAATCGCATAAATTGTTTGCCTGCCCCAAAAAAGAGACGACGACGCTTTTGCCCGCTTTAGTTCCACATGCGTTCCACACACACACACACTCACACACACTCAGCAACAACAACAACAACTAAACGTTACAACAACGACAACGTTTAGCAAGTACGTCGCACTCTGCCGCATTTATCAGTCCGCCGCACTTGGCCAGTTTGTTATTTGATTTATGCTGCCTTTTTGGCGGCGCGCCGGGGCGTGTGGGTGCGGACCGCGGTCTGCGGGCCAGAGAGTCGCCGTATAACAGGAATTGCTTTAAATTACGCAAATCCAAATGGTAAATGCTAGTAGGAGCAACCAGGCACAACTTGAACTTTTGATTAACTTATAGCCGCACACATTTATAAACACAAAATAAAAATGGAAACTACATACATTTCAAAACTAACCAAACGCCACCTCAGTACTCTAAAAAATAAACCAAATCAAGTTATGAAGCAGAGCTTCCAAAAGGACTAAGAAGAAAAGTACTGGAAAAGAAGCGATAACTATGAAGATATCATATTTTGGGTAGCTCTTTAAATAAAAGGAATACAAGTACTCATAGTTTTGGAAGAATGATTACCAAACACCTAAACAATCACTTATAGGTCACGAGCGGGAAGGGCTTTGCTGAGGCTCAAGGAACTAGTTGCAAAGGCATTTACGCCTTGAAGTCTGTAGAAGAAGGGTATATCTAATGAAGATTTGGTACTACTATAAATAAAAGCCGTGGAAACAAAATTAGGTGTATTCTGATCCGTTAGTCTTCTTTAAAGATGAAAGAACACAACCTCGTTAATCTATATATAAAATTTTAAGCTTTTGTCTTCTGGATCACAGTGCTAAGAATAATAATATACATTATAAAATTCGATTGGTAGAACGTTATATAGTATCTTGCGATAACTTTGATCCATGAATGTTCTATCAAAGATTCTTCTCTAGATAGCTTCTTAAGACGCAACTAGTGTCCTGGCAAAACGCAAACTACATTCAAATAATTGCTAATTCCAACTATTTGTTAGACTCACATTTATTAAGCAACAATTTAAATAAATTTCACATAGTATTTCAATGAAAAAAATCTGATTTACTGGAGCTAATAAGAAGTGTGTTACGAATAACATTAGTTCCAAACAAAGGCGTGTAATATGTCTAACTGCTATGCAATGAATTTTTCTGACCTTTTATTTAACAGCAAAGCAATATAAGAACAAAATAATGCAATTAACTAGTTGCAATAGATCAGTTAGAGCATAATAGTACTTCCATATACCAGTTTCGTCTCACTTTCATAGCAAATTCACTTTTTAATAGACAATCAGACGAACTAAGTACCCAATTATTTCATATTATTATAGAACACTTGTGGGGCTTGCAAACCTCATATGAAAATGAAAATGCCCTGCTTTTTCGAGTGCATATTAACAGACACATGTGTGAGATTAGAGCGCTAGTTTGTTTGCGACAACAGGCACTTGCCGGCTACGCCATTTTACGTGACCGAGGCGCGCATTTATCACAACTCGCCAGCTTCGAGCGCCAAGTAGCTGTTGGCAGGCAGCTCCGAAAACTAAAAACTAAAAACTGAAAACTGAAAACTGAAACCAAATCCAAAACCGAAAGTGACGCCGGAGCAATAATAATAACAACAACAACAACAACAACAACAACAACAACAAGTCGACTCGAAGTTGTCGCACATAAAATGCTTTTTAATTTATTGGAGCGTTCAAAATAGTGCCATAAGTCGGGTACGATGCCAAGCAACGCCTAGGCACCCTGTTAGGCCATTTTTCTTCACTGCCATTTTCTACAATACGAGTATAATTTTTTTCGGCTATATTGCAATTTCCGCAGCAGCAGCAGCAGCAGGAACAGTTGTTGTGCAAATATTTGCACAATCTCAAATGGCAAATGGGCCAACGCATGTGCAATTTATGCGCTCTTCTTCATATTTTCAATTTGCAATTTTGTTGCAACGGGCCGGCGAGTGGCTCAGAATTTATGCAAACTACGCAAAAGCCTGGCCCAATGACTATCATCGTTATTGGCCAGCTACAGATCTTGTCTGGGCGATTGACTGCAAATCGAAGGTTGTTGTTATTGTTGTTGTTGCTGTTGCTCTTCTCGCTGCGGACTGGCGTGGGCGAAAAAGAAATCGAACGCGTGGTCTGACCGGCTCAGAATCTGCAGGCCTTGGCCAAAGGCAGGAACTGCCTAGATTGTCTGTCGATCTGTATTTCTTTCAGTCTGTTAGGCTGGTAGTTTTATACTATGGGATGAGAGAGCTAGATTTTGTGTAAAACTGTAACGTAGAAAATATTTTAACAAAAGTTCTGTTTTAAGAATGTCCCTTCCTCAAACCTTTATTTTGATATCCTTCATATGATTCGTGCACTAGAAAGCATCAGAAATAAGACGATTCATTAGACGATCTGTGATACTGTCGCACATTTTTGCATTTTGCAACACTACATTTCTGCCTTTAAATGAATCGTAATTATTACCACCACACTGTCTTTAAAGAAAAAAAGAAACAAATAGAAAATGTAATATAAATTATTAAATATAATATATTAATTAATTTAAAACGTTTACCTTTTTCTCTAAATTATAGAAGAAATATGTGTTCATCTGCTTCTCCATTCAAATGTTTAGTCGATTATATACGCATGTGAATTATTGAAAGTATTGTAGTCGCCAACACTAAACATAATATGTAGCTCCACCCCTTGTTTCTATGTTTGCTTTATACATTTATTTCATGAAAGATAAATCCTATATCTTTCTAATGACACTCACTTCGAGCTCTGTATATTTCAAAACACATTGCGTGGTTCTCTTCAAATACATGGAAATATATTCTAAATGACTGTCTAGCCATGGAAGTCTTTTAAAACCAATAAACAGGGAATTAATGAAGGCTTTTTTTGCTCTCCAATCATGCTTTCCAATTAGGCTTCAGTAATGTTTAATTTAATTTCCAAATTAAACCCGTTGCATCTCTTACCACCTCTCGAAATAGTTATGAGCATAGATATTGATTTTGTTTGCAACCCGATGCTTTGCATTCCACAGTCCCTTGTGGTTGCAAAGGCAAGGGCTTGCGGACTGCACAGATTTTTATCGCCTGCCTTTTAGTTAAATGCCAACATAAAGTTGACTGCGTTTCTGTGCCAACTGCTGTGCAACATCTTTGGC